AGCCCTATCTGTCCTCTAAAAAACTATATATAATATGTGTGGGTACATTTAGTAAGAAAGTATATTACTGCTGTGGAAGAATCACACAGCAAAAATGTAAAAAATGTGTCAGTCATTTATGAACAGAACCTGAAAACTAGCTCAGTCATGAAAGTTTTTTTCCTTGTAAGAAATTTGCCATGGGTATCTGCTATGGATAGGATGGATGTATGTGCATAAGTTAAAAAAGTTGAAAAAGTTTAACGGGTGTATGTACCAATAGTTGGTACATAAACAATCTTTTTTTATATGTATATTTAATGTTTTATCTAATAAAAAGGTTCCTAATCAAAATATTTGAAACAACCTTATTATACAATCTTAAAGTGACACTAAACGCAGGAGTTAAAAATGCATTCAAGCACCTTAACTAGTAACACAAATGTATCTTATTTGTGTATCACTCGGCTGTAGAGCCTCAAATCATCTCTGAAATCATGCTGTCACTGTCCTTCCTTCTGGAAAGGGTCTACTTTTTTCACATGGCTCCTACCCCTGTTTCCCCGAAAAAAAGACCTAAGCCGAAAATAAGACCTAGTACTATTTTTGGGAATTGCTAAAATATAAGACCTACCCCAAAAATAAAAGGGGGAACTTGAAGAAGCGTAGGAGAGAATCAGCAGTGCCAATGAAGCCAGCGCTAGAGGAAGTGAAGCCGCACCAGAGGGAGCAGACCAGCATAAGCCTCTATGCCTCCTCTATTGGTTAGCAAATTGCTCTTGGAAAGGTACGGCACCCCTGATTGCCCTGATCACCATATTTTTGTGAATAAAATAAATGAATAAGTGGGGATTGTTGTACATTAAAAAAAAGACCTACCCCGAAAATAAGACCTAGTGTGTTCTTTTGAGCCCCAAAAAATATAAGACAGTGTCTTATTTTCGGGGAAACACGGTATGTGAATTGTAAAGCAGCCATGGCTGTAAGATTGCTCCGGTGATTCACTACAATCTCATGTGTAGTTTATTAAATTGTGTTAAAGTTATAGTCCAATACAGGAGCGAGCTTGGAGCGGTGGCTACTTTACAACGCACACCGGCACCATATATCTTCTTGGTACATGTGTTTTATAGTACAGAAAATTATTAACTCCCTGTGAATGTTTGGTGATTGCCACATTTACTTCTTTATAAATATGTCCCATGTATCACTTTTGCCATTATAAAGAGGTTAAATATCCTGCACAATCTGTGGAATTATGTGTCTTTGTTGTTGTTCAGTTGTTTAAATTTAATTATTTACATACTACTATTTCAACCTCTGCAGTGTCAAACTACCACCTGTTATATTAAAAGATTGATCTACTACTTCCTGGCAAAGTTTACTTCCAGGTTCAGCCCTTGTGCTCCCTTTATCACTACCCTGCTGCTTGATAGAGGTGGGAATGCTGATTCTTTTTCCAATGAACAAGCTGGAGATGTAACATAGGAAGCTACATTGCTGATTCAGGAAACAAGTACGCCACCTGCATGGCTTTGCCTTGTGACAGAGATGTGTAAATCACAAGACAGAAATACATCTTGCAATATGAGCCAGCTCTACCTTTTCAGTCTTCTACTTCTCACATATATGTTACACTGCAAAATGCATAAATGGTTAGAAGCAGAGGCATCCCTAAACATTTAGCACACTCCTAGCAACCTTGGATGCTCTGGCCAGAAAAGGGGGCAGCAGGCTGCCTCATTATAGGGGCAGCCCTGGTTAGAGGATGTGCTCAATGAAGTTTACACCTTATGAACGTATTGCAGTATTTAACACTGGACAAAAGCAGGTGTGCAGTACACAACCTCCCAGTAAAATGTCAGTCTTATTTAAAGAACGCAATGAAACCAAGTACTTTAGTTTTCAGTAGTTTTATTGAAAAAAAAACGCCTCTTTTGTTTCAGAAATAAATAAAAATATAAGGCAGTGAAATTCACAATTTGCAGTTAAAATTTTTCAAACAGCAAATCTATTTTCATAGTCTTGCAGGTAATTTCAAACTGCTTTGAGAACTAAGGAACACTATATTCTGAAATTTGTCCATACTAAATATACAGCACAAACATGCAATTCCATTTTCTGCAGGACTGACTGCAATTTGGCATACATGTAACTGTTAATGTGTCTACAATATAAACCTGCACCCAACTGGCGCACTAAGTTTAGCTATGTTGAAAGGTTTCTGGATGCTTAGAAGGAGGCAGCATACAAAAAGCAGTATATTCCCTACAAAGTATAATGCAGGCTTGAGAAGAAGTGTACATGTTGTACAAAGGAAACAGTTTGTTTAATGGGCATCATAAGGCTGGCAACATGATCTAAGAAGCATGGATGTGATGTCATTGTGCTGACACAAAGCCACTGTGAAATGTGCTCTAAATTTAGGTTTCTGCTGTATAACATTTTATAAAATTTTGTATCTTTACTCACACATTTGGAAAAACGCAAAAGCACAATGTATTTTACAAGCATTTAGACAAGCATGGGACAAGAAGCGTCATACTGTTCCTACGGTGAGATATATTGCAGCATACCCATAAACAAGGTATGTGTACATATTGGCAAGTGCATTTCATGATTGCAGTATCCTGTAAGGAAATTGGAAAGCATGCTATCCACTTACTCTGCATCTATTGTTTGACTGTTGTAACCAAGTAAATGACACATATAGAGTATTAAATACAAAACATTTTATGATTTCACTACATTCTTTCTTAAGGATCTTCTCCATCGCATATGTTCAGCATAGTCAGGCTGCATGTCATGTCCATAATCCTCATCATCTGGTCTTTCTGGTGGCATTTGGACTACGTAGGGTTCACTGTCAGGATCAATTGGTCCACTTTCAGGCTGGTAAGGTTCTGGTCAAAAATATTTGTCCGATTGAACAAAATAATTATCTCATGATATTAATCCATGGACATATTTATTGTATGATACATTTTGCCTTTTTTAAACACACATGTCTACATATATATTGGCATTCTATATATAGGCGAAACTATATATAGATATACCTATATGTATATGATATTAGCTTAGCAATCTGTTTAATTCTAAATTCTTGTGTATATGCAAGCTAGTTAAATGTAACTTGCATACCTTTCAAGACATAAAAATGCATTTGATTTTGCCGTGTTTCACAGTTTCAATGCATTTCTAATAGTTAGATGCTTTCTTATTATTGATCAGTTAGAAGTCAGTGTATTATCCATTAGGGACAGATATTTTAGTGAAAGATTACACATTGTATAATAAAATGCATTTTGTATTGGATTATACATTGTATAATACAACAAGTTTTGTATCGGAACATGGTGAGTGTTAGCTGAAATAATTTACAATTAAATTGTCATGATTGATTCTAATATGCAATAATAAATAATGTAATACATAATGCTAGAGGCATTGTCAATAAGTCATCAATATATATTATAACTTTCAGCTACATACAATGTTAAATGCTTTAGAGGTTATGTCATTACTCGGTTTGCCTGAAAAGCAATAGCACCGTAGAACTTTCAAAGGGTTGAAGGGTCAATGGTTATTCTAGCAGATAGCAAGCAGCAGGCTTTAATGTATTAGCATCATGTAAAATAATGTTAACTGATTTTAGTGGATATGTTGTCATACAAATCATTTACAAGCCACATTAGTTTTATTATTTACATAAATCATTTCTATTTCCATATGTTAAATCTCTATGTAAAAGGGCTGCTTTAGATACAGTAGTTAGTGTCTATATTGACCTCTCATATAACTGAGGCCCTGTATTTTGTTCTTGACATGGCTTTTTTTCGCTACAGAAATGCAAACAGGCTTTGTAAGCTGACATCGCTGTCTTGGTTTCCATTCGAGTGTTGTTAGTATAGAAAACAGTTCCCCTTTTTTTGTGATGGCAATACAAGTCATTAACTATATCCATGGTGAAATTTCCCAAAAAAATCATTTCAGAGTAAGCACGTGCGCAATCTCAGAAACGCGATTTTCATCAATTCAAACTGTAAGCAGCACTGGAGACTAAAATGTGTTAGCCGGAACCTGAAACAGGTCAAATAGGTTGTTAGTGTTTAAAAGTAAGAGATGCAAAATACATTGTTTTCCACCTAAATACAGTACAGATTTTAGTTCAAGCATTCATACTGTATATAAAGTACAAGGAAACTTACACATGCGTTTCTGCACCCATTTGTGTACCTATTTTACCTCTTTGGAATGTATGTTTTTGGAGACAGGGTAGTGTTTTGGGGTATGAATAGACTAGGGGATGGGACAAAAGGAGCTTGGTAAAACTGTGCTCAATGTCACCTACTGACTTCATAGTAAAACATCTTCCTTGGTGTAAACCTTTTTTGTGTTTGTGTTGTGTTAAACAAACCTTTGTTGTGTTTATTGAAATAAAACATTTAAATAATAAAAATAAAATTAAAATACTGCTGCAGTTTGCGTAGGAGCTTACTGTTAACACCATACTATGGCCCATCACTATGTCTGGCAGCCTCACTGGCCAATAGGTATGTGTAGGAGGCAGGAAGGGACCCGCAAGCTTTAACACTATCAGAAAGTGCTGAAGTTTTGCTTGTCAAAACCTTTGTACCAGGAGGGTTTGGGAAGCTGCTATAGGTATGCACAGGCACCTCTCCGGGCCTGTGCCTTATACCTACAGCAGTTTTTTAAAGCTATTCTATCTTAATTAAAATACATCAGGAGACAGACGGGTATTTGGCCATGTTTATATTACATTTGTGCAAATTAAATACATGTGTTAGATACATCTATCTATGACTACCCAGTCAAATGTATATAGGCATACATAAAAGCAAGGAGAGGAAAACTACCATTAGAAAAATATAGGGGATGCCTTTGCTGAAAATGCTAGTTCCATGGCATTATGCTGACCTTCTTCTTTTAGTACTTTCTGAACCATTACCCTGAATAAAAATGCAAGGCATAAGGTCTGCCTTTACTTGCTGCAAGCTCTTTCTGGTTCAGTAATTTAGAAAGTATTGGAGCCAGGGACAGCCCACATCCAACATTTTGAGAAGGAGGTCAGCAATGGCAGTCTCTAAACTTCTCTCACAACAAATTTGCTTCTAAAAGGCCTTCAGGTTTAAGCACCTTGCTTGAGCAGCATTGTCAGCCACCCAGACAAATGTATTTTAACAGTGCGGTGAAAGTGTTGTGGTGCCACAACTTACTTTTTTTTAAATGTATAAATTCATTCCTAAAGTAATTTACATTCACTATAAATGATTATATTTATTGTTTGTGAATCACCATTTAGCAAGAAATAAAATAAGCAATGAAAAAGTAACCAGAATTGTTATATTAACCACTTCAAGACCAGGTGTTTAGACCCCCTTCCTGGCCAGGCCATTTTTCAGTATTCAGCGCTGCGGTACTTTGACTGATGTTTATTCCGTCATGCAGCGCTGTACTGAAATGAATTTTATACCATTTTTTGGGGACAGATAGAGCTTTATTTCGGTGGTATTTAATCACCACTGGGGTTTTTATTTTTTACTATAATTAGGAAAAATTACAGAAAATTTGGGGAAAAAAAAGTTTTTTTTAACAATTGTTCAAAAATAAAAATCATACTAGCAAAAGTATTACATCCTAAAAGCATCTGCAAGTCATTAAGATGTTATAGTTGGTAACATACCTGGATATCCTTGACCATTGTAAGGAATACTTGCACATAATGAAGCATCACAATACCCAGATGGACCAGCAGAACCTCTAATTCCTTGGTTACCCGGCCGGCCAGGAGGTCCAGGAGGCCCTGTAGAGCCTGAAGAACCTGGTGGTCCAGTTCTCGAATCGCCTGGTGGTCCTGATTTTGAAAGAGAAATATAAAATCCTGTAAGATGTTTTTTCTATTGTTTTAAACCAGAGCTAATAATGCATTTGGCACCGAAACTGTCTAGACATATAATAGTACAATGCTAGAGCAAAAAAATTAGTCTACATGTGTTGTCAATGAAGACACCACCAAATTAACCAAGACATGATAGGATCTCGGGCTATATATACATTTTTTTTTCAAAGCACCCACACAATGTCTACTTTGCTGAAGATCAGATTTAGCGAGACATGGACAACTTACAAGCATCAGTGAATTATTTGGTTTGTTTCCACATCTAAGTTATAATGACCTCTAGGGAAACTTCATGCATAGAAAAGCACACTGCAGTCTAAGTAAAATGTACTAGTGCATCAACTCTGCTACTCTGTGGCCCAAGGGCAGATGAAATCATGTTTTCTTTGGAACAAGTACTATTATGGTTAGCTAGAATGTAAATCTTGAATCAAGTGAGGATAAAATTGTTGTAAGCTTCTTGTACATTTTGTAATTAAAAAATTGTGTTTTAACTACTTATTAAAGACAGAAACAGCCAGAAAGCTATTTTGCCAGACTTTGGCAGATATTCAAGATAATAACAAGTAATAGATTAGGGGACTGCAAGCTTAGAATGGAGCACTATTTGTAAAGTTGTATGTAATCCAGTAACCGTTATAAAGCACACTGAGAAATACAGGTTTAAAAGTAAAATGAATATATCTGTTTCTATACTAAAGTGTTCCATATTTACTTTGACAAAGCACAGTTGGTTCAGTTGACTTTATCAAGCAAAGTACTACATTTGTGGCTATGTATTAAGGTTTTTCAATTACAAACAAGGAACATATATTAATAAGCAGAGTGAAAGATTAGAACTTGGCAAAACACAACATTCTTCCATAACAAGACCTCCCAATATTGACCTATCTCCTATAATAAGAAAAGAGCACCAATTCCTTATATTTGATTATCCAACTGAGAACTTAGGTCATCCTTTTTGTTTTAGGGCCTACATTTCTGACTGACAAATTTAAAAACATATGTGAACATCTTACTGTTGTTGAGAATCCTTTAGAAGTTTTTTTCTGAAATTAGCAGTTCTTGATTGCACAACTCCCTGCTCTCTATTTTAAGAAACTACTGTTATCTAGCTACATAAGGACTCGTCATTAACAACTGGTCCAGATTTATCAGAATGTCACATAGGCCATGACTAGGATGACAGAGTATTAGCGGTTGACAGGATTTCTATTCATTTGTACATTTTTTTTAAATCTTACCTACATGTCTGAAAAACATTATTTTAATAAGAAAGTTACTGTGAATGTATGCTAAGGAGGAAAATTGAAATTCACCATTAGGTATTGCTGAGTTTGTAGCATTTTGTGACCACACAGGAAGTGATTAAATCTTCTCTGGGGGGATAAAGGCAGTGGTAAAACATGAATTGTGTTCTAACCCTTCCCCTAGTCTACATTAAAAGTGTTTGCTGTTGTATTCATCTGTTGAAGAGATTCTCCATCTCTCCCAGTGAGCACTCATGATGTGAGCACAAATCTCCTAAGTGGGGTCACAGACATTAATAAACACTTGGCAAAGTTTCCAAATAGAACATGCCTCAAACAGGGCACAGACATTTTCTATAGGACTGACAGTGCCTTAGGTAAGTGGGGGGACGGGTTGAGGGTAAGGGCTGTGAATGGCACCATGCCCCATGTTACACCTAAATATGGATGTAACAAGGAACATGGTAGTAAAGGTGGAATTAGCCACAGGTTCAGTCAAAGGTTAATGTTTAAGGGTTTATTTATGATTTGTTATCTAAGTGGAGCACTAAGTATTGGGGTCAGCCTAAGGATCAGTTTAACCCCTTCTCTGGCATTGAGGTAACTGCTATATTAATAATAAATGCTTATTTTACGCAGTACTCTTTTACTCCTGTCTGTTGGCTTACCGGAAGTAATTTGGGTGCTTATAAATATAGGTATATTTATAAATATACTGGATGCTTTCAGAAAATATATAATGATTTGGGGAGTTTTAAATATCCTCCAAGCCTGTACCCTTAGTAAAATTACCTGGCAGTAAAAAGGCTAAAGTTTTGGTTGGAGAAGCATTTTTCCCTACTTATTTTGGCTCTAAAACCCCCATGCCAGTAGCTACCAGGTGCAAGATTCTAGCTGGTGAAAAGCAGCAAACCTTGATGATGTATGCAAGTAGAAAGCTACAGGAAATGTTATTTTATTAAATACAATAACAATTTTCTACCTCACGAGCAGGTAGATCATTTTTTGTACTGACCTGGTGGTCCAGGGAGACCTCTGGGTCCTTGGGATCCAATTCCAGAATTGCCCCTCTCTCCTTTTTCTCCTGGTATTCCTAGGTTAAATGCAACATGGTATAATATTTATAGTACACTAGTGCAGCAATACATTTGGTGACAAATACTTTCAACCTTTCTATATATGACAATCCTATGCTTGTACAAATGTACATAATATCAAACTAATTTCAGATGGTAGTCTATTTGTTTTTAGATTAATATCAGAGTATAATTTTCAAAGATTTGGTCTTTTCTATTAATATTAGGAGCTGTTTTATATACCTCTTTCTCCAGGTGGTCCTTGAGCACCAGGTGTTCCTGGGAATCCAGATCTTCCTGCAGGTCCAGGTTCACCTCTCATACCATTACTGCCTGAAGGACCAGGTGGACCAGGGGGTCCAGGTTGATTGCGATTGGAATAATAGTCATTTGGAATCTGGTTCAAAATCTGATTAAATCTGCTCATTTGACCTTAAAAGACAGAAAAGATATACATCTTACTAAAAAGATAAATTATCATCATACCTCTATACCTTCATGTAATTTAAACATTATTTAGAGCAGTTTTTAAAGTGGTTTAGAAGTTAAAGATCAGATGTCAGTATGTTTTATGACTGTAAATGTTTTATATATGGTATAAGAGCATGTAAGTGGAACAACCTCCAAGCATAAGTGGTAACAAAACATTTTAAATATGCGTGGTACAGAATAAAGTCTGGGATTTTACTCAAAATGAAAATTTCCAGGCTGGGTGGGCCAAATGCTTATCTGCATTAAACTTCCATCGACATTGGAGTTTTTTTGGCATTGAAAGTTCTGCAGTAGTGCTGAAAGGCAATCATTAACCAGTGATACTGACATTCTATAGTATACATAAAAACACGTCTCCTTTCTTCCCCAGTATCGAACTCATCATATAGAAAGTAATGTAAAAAGCATGTGAAGGGGTAACCACAGAAGCACTGAAGTCATTATGACATTATCCATGAACTTAAAATTTCCCGCTACTGAAACAGTCTGGGTTTCTAAATGAAGGTATTTATATTGTAAAAGCACAGAGCTGACAAGATGGAATACACATTTTAACTTCTGCAAGCCCTGGCTAACTATGAAATAGAAAGTTAAAAATGTGCCTTGGTACTTTTGTTCAGTGGAGAGGTTTTATTTTTTAAGTGTGTCTATTTAGGTGTTCCATGTATGCTGATTTGAAATATATTACATGCGGTTTACCAGTTTAAAAGGAAATCACCTGCTTGGGACCCATATGTGTAAATAGATAGGGTTCCCAACTTCAACAATGTATTTGTAATAATGAGGAATCTCTGCTTTTGAGATTGTGTAGTAAAAATAAAGTTCCTTAAATTCCATAAACACTACTTTTCTATGTGCCAACATCGTTATTTTATCTCTAATTAATGCAAAACACTAATAATTCTGTACTATGAAAATATGTTCAGTCTTTACACATTCAAAAGTCTATCATTAGGAATACAAATATTTATTTTCATCAAACAATGTAATGTTCTTATTCATTCAGACTAACCACAGGGTTCACAAAAGCTCTTGCATAAATAACTGCCATATGTAGATAAATCTACTGTTTTTCTTAGGCTCATGCTCAGCTTTATTCCCAGTCTTTTTAAAGGCTTTATGCCGGGACATTTCTTTATACAGCCACCCTCCTGTGTTTTATTGTCCCATAAATCACACATATTATGGATGCCATATCAGGAAACACATTAGTCCTTGCTGTGAACCAAACCTAATGTCCTTTTTCAAACCAGTTTCCAATTTCTTTCCATGATCTAAACCATAGTGTATTAGCTAGTTTTCTACAAAATATGCACTATAGTATGCTTTTGTGACTGAGGCAGGGACATTGGATTGTGATCTCTTTCAAAGGCAGATACTGGTGTATAAAAATGTAAAAAAAATAAAATAACTATAAGCTATTGTTTATATTATTTATAATAGCTAGTATAAATAATAATTATAATTAATAGATACTAAAGCAGGTAGCCTATTACCTGCTTTAGCCTTGCATTGCCTACACTCTCCTCAGGAGCACAACATCTTCTACTCCGTCACAGATACTGTCATTTACAGAATGACAGGGATTCTGCAGTAACAGCTGCAACCGAGCCCTTCTTTGAAGGTGTCAAGGTGGGGGTGATATATGTTGATTCCTACTTCCTATTTCCCTATTCTGCACCTACAATATTGGAATGTATGCTGAGTTAAAAAAAAAAAAAGCTATAGATCACCTATGGCAGAGGCAAGAAAGTTGATTATGGCCAGCACAGGGGCAATGACACTTCCTTGTGTGTTCACTTCAATTGGTCATGTAATGTAATTTCACATGATCACAAGGATCATTGGCTCTTGTGTTGGCCCTATAGCAACCCTGCACAGCTCTGCTGTAGAGCCTGAACTTTTCCACTTACTGCACTCTGCACTCTGCATCATTGCAAGTTGACTTTGGGTCAGTAATGTGTAAAGTAAGTAAAGTAATTCAGTAGCTTATGCCACAATAACAAGATATTCTGGTATTACCATGGTGTTAGGTGTCTTGAGTTAGGTACTAAGCAATATCAAACAATCTAAATCACAACACATCCAATGCTATAGAAACAGCACATACAAAGGCAAAGTTTGATCTTCCTAAAAACTATGAGCATTATCGGCTTCTCTCTTTCATTGTCAAAGTTTAACTGAACAAACTGGAGATAGAAGCTGATTGGTTGTCATGGGCATCTGCTCCAGATTCTGTCTGCTACTGTTTTGATAAATTACCCCTTATGTATATTACCACTTACCTAACTCATGCACAAGTGACAAAAGGAGTAGTTAGTGAATATTGTTGGTGAATGTCAGTTGTTACCCAAGCTTTGGCATAGGAGTGGTATATTGATCCTAAAAGTGTATTTCTACTTTTGTAGCCAATTTCTTGATTATTATTTTTCATTATGTTGTGTGAATAGGAACACAAACATATAGAGGGTTTTTCTTCATTTTGATTGCAAGAGTGGAAATACAATTTAAAGTGACATTGAAGTCACAACCCCCCCCCCCCCCATCAACTGGTGCTGTTCCCTTATTCAGTGCTGACTGCTGTGTCTTCTGTGTCCCACGGTACCTGTCCCACATGCATGCTCACGGCTGCGTGCATTCACTTACACTGTGTTTCTCCTCTGCCCCCCCCCCCCCCTAAAGATCTCCACTGCGCATACGCCCACCCCATCATCCTGCACGGCCACTCAAGAATCTTTAGATCTTCAGATGGGAGTGAGCGGCGGAGACACAGTTAAGTAATTACCTATTTGGTAATTTTGTTTATTTTTTAATGTTTTTGCATACATCTACTGCTTGCTAGCAGTAGATATATGTAAAAACAAAAGTTACTTTAATACTACTTTAGTACTTTAGGGCTCAAATAGCACAGTAAAAAATTAGCATGCTTACTTTGCTTTGTGGCACATTGAATTAAAATGTCTTGCATTGATACTGCATTCCCATTCACTTTAATAGCTCTTCCAGGTAGTAACCCTACATTACACATGCACTAGTGTTTTTAAACCTTTTTTATGCTGTGCTTTTTGTAAATGCACTAAGAACCAATAAAATGCCCATACAGTCAAGGCAGAGAATTTCAGAGAAAGGGAAGATTGATGCAATGGAAAGTTAGTTATTACTGAAACTGATTGAGAAGTTTTAATTTTTTACTGCAATCTCAGGTTTACATTAAATCTAACATAAGGCTGTATTATTTCTATGATTAATTCATTTCTTTTATGTGTACTTTGCACATACATATAAAACAAAACTGAATATGATTTTTCACTTACTGTTTATCATTTGTTCACAAACTTGCCTTGCCACTGCTCTCATCATATTCTGAGAAGCAATATCTCCCTAAAGACAAAAAACATATAGTAGGCCAGGTCATTAACATAATGTACAGTTTAACTATGCGGTCATAGGTAGACAATTTACAACATAAGTAAATCTATAATGATTTATTTAACTTACTCTGTCACCCTTATCTCCTTTTTGTCCTAGTGGACCCTATAAAAGAATGATATGTTACTTTGTGTCAGCTATAAAGAATAAGGCAATCACATTTAATAAACATTTCGAAAAAGTTACGGTGTATTAGTGATATGTAATATTTCCTGTATCTGTAAAGCCTGTATATTAGGACCTTATATAACTACAATATTTGTAATATATTTATTGAAAAAAACAGAAGTCTAAGAGGTGTCTCAGAGAGTATGAGATTAGCAGCACTGAACTATGTATAAATGTGTATTTAGCTATCTGTAAATACAGCATTAGTAAAATGTGCTTGCTCTGTAAATAGTATCTCACCATCATCTACTGTGGGGGGCAAGTGAATGGAAACGTCAGTGGGTGACCCAGAGCTATGCTTAAAAAGTATGTAAACCCTAACATTGAACCTCTCTTTTTTCCCCTTTGGTCTGTTAAATATAAAATGGAAAGCATTTTGTTTTATTTGTTTGATAAGTGCGAAAAAGAAACCTATTTATTTTATTACAGATATTTATATAATGTCATCAGTTTATCCAGTACTTTTACATACAGTCCATTCACATCAGTCTCTGCCCTCAAGGAGCTTACAAACTAGGGCCCCTATTGCACATGCTTGCATATTAGGGCCAGTTTAGTGAGCTGATAAATTAACCAACCCGCATGTGTTTGGAGTGTGTGAGAAAACCAGAGTTCCCGGAAAAAACCCACACAAGCACGGGGAGAAAATGGTATGAACCAAGGACCCCAGGCTGCAAGGCAGAAATGCTAACTACTGATCCACAGTACTGTCCCTGTTGATCATGTCAGAAATTCAGAGCTGCCCTCTGCCTAATACTCACTTCCTGTGTTGTCTCTAAAAGAGTAATTATCCCTACCAGTCCCTATCTTGGGACTACACTATGAATAGCTTTTATGTTCTGGGGTTTAGAGAGAAGGTTGGTTTGGGTAGTTTGGCAAGAGAAAACTCGGCAGGGCTTACAACACTCAGTCCACAGAAATTATGTGAATTGTCAGCCCGCAACAGGAAATTAGAAGCATGAAATTAGAAATGAGAGTGCATTAATGGCAGATCAGCAGGTATTTTTCTGTACTTACAGGGTCTTTAAATTATTTTTTTTGTGTGTGTGCTTGCCTCACATATGCTTTAAAAAATAATAAACTAAGCATTCAAATCACTCATTTTATGTTACAAAAATTCTACAACTACACTAAAAGTTATCCAGCAGAACAAAAAAGAATAATCAGAAGTTTAGCTTAGTGGAATGTTGGAGGTTCAGCCTTACATAATAATTAAACTCTGTGGTTGTGACCTAAATGATAATAATTCATAGTGGGAAATATTATAACTTGCTTCTAAATTGTCAACCTGATTTGATCTGATTATCCATTTTTACATGCTATATTAAGCTATAGCCCCTATCTGAAAAAGACACACGCCCACATCATTTGTATACATTGCATAAGAATCTGGCTGCAATTGGCCCAGCATCTTTGTGAGCTCTCTCCCTACGGCTGTTTGCTCAGAATTTCTCATTATCCTTACCTGTTACCTGCAAGTCTGCAACAGTTTTTCACTCAGTTTTTCTGCCCTTACTTCACCAGTGCCTGTTCAATGCATGAGAGTAGATAACGACTCCCTTTCTGCTCAAGAATTACCAGAGCTTCTGTAGACTGTCTGCACCCTATTCTGGTGTTTTGCAATCCAGACTGTCACTCTGGTTATTCTACAGCTTGTTCCCTGGTTCCTATTGTTTTTCTTCTGACACCTTCCCTGACCTTCTGCCAGTTAAGCCTTTTAGTTAGGCTTGAGGTCAGAGATTAAATGTAAGGGATTATGTTAGGGTTGATTTTCATTGTTGGAAGTTAGGAGTTCAACTTTTATGGTAGGGTTAGAGGTTACATTTTAGTATTAGAGGGTAGGTCAAGTGTTAATATTTGAGGGAGAAAGTAATTACATGCTGCATGATACTAAGATATAGTGATAGGTGGTAGCTGGGAGCCTAGGGGCTTAGTAAAATGCATATTTGTTTTCTGTGTCAAACCCCTGCAACTAAATATCTTGCACTGGGGTCTTAAAACCATAAAACCAATGCACTGAAACCCTAGCCTTGTGGTTTTCCTAGTTAAGACCATGACCTTAACTTCTGGGTGAGCCCACATCTACTACTGGTGACATAAAATATACACAACATTTTGTGACCGATGCTTAAACCTTAGAAACCTCCAATGCTATAGCCATTTCTTAGGACCTAGGAACCTCCAATCCTATCGGTATCGACCTGCAATTCTTACTGTAAATAGCTGCACAGTGCTGGGCCATCTTAATATTCATGGTTCACCTGATATTAAACAACCTTTTAGATAATGCTCGGGCAAAAGAAAAAAATATACAGTATATACATGCACATCTCCAATGTTTATCTCCTAGAGGTCCTTCCAGAAATTCAGTCAGCTCCCTAGAGTGAGCTGAAATAGCATTGTCAGCCTGCTACAGTAAGTAAGTAGTTCACTGGATTTCTAGTGGGATCATCAGGTATTTCCAGTATTAGCATAATGTTAGAAAAGACAAAACCTGGGGAAATGTGACTGTATTGTAGAGATGTACTGGATATTCACATTCTCAAACAATTCATCCTCATACAGCTACCTCCTCATGTATCACTGGCCCCTCCCTTTTAGATTGTAAAACCTCACGGGAAGGGCCCTCCTTAGCATCTTGTTTTGAATTGTATTGTAATTGTAATGTCTTCCCTATATTGTAAAGCGCTGAGCAATCTGTTGGCGCTATATAAATCCTGTATAATAATAATAATATGTTTTTGATTTTATTTTGCCCAGATATGCACTTTACTACTGTATATTGCCCTTTAGAAGTCAGACTGTTCTAGGTCACTTTATTTGTAAAGTCATCCATTGTTATGATCACGTTTGTTAGTGGCTATGTTCCATGCCATTTGCAAGCATCCAGTGTATTCTGTGTCCTGTTATAAAGTCTTCAGTGTAGGACTTGTCACATTAATTTCAGTGGTCCATCTTGCACTCACTAACCAGAATCTACACCTCAAGCATTTAGTGAAATAATACAAATGGTTCTTGGTGAAATGTGGCAGAACATATTAGTTAAGATTACATTTTGAAAGATCTCTTTGTAATTCTCAGTTTTACTCCTAATATTTGACCAATGAAATTGATGGGCCTTGGGTCTTAGGCCACTGGCCCTTGGACTTCTGATTATTGCCCCAGCACTTTGTCCTGAGACCATCTTCTGTAGTACCCAGGTGTGCTAATTATTTAAGTCTAATGGAAAGCAGGAGCATCTGACAGATGTTATTGTTACCTGAACGGTAACACAGTCTCCTTGTGCTGTCCAACCTCTAGTGTGGGAAAAACAGGCTTTTAGAAGCTTCATTTCTTAAACTACATGCAAACACAGGGGGACTGTCTCTCTTGATGCATTATGGCAGCCTATGGCAAACAGATGGAAAACTGTCTTCAAGAAATTGTGTACACCACTATGTGAAAAATGTCATAATTCTCCCTCATTACAGATGTTGCATATTTTAAGAATGGTATATTCAGTTAAAAAAATAATAAATATATTTTTGCTTCATCAGCATTAATGCAGCAATTATTTCAGTATGGCTTTTCAACATTTTATAAATGTTGTATAATCAACTCTTTCAACTAAAACATAGAAACATCTGTAAGCCACTCTTATTAATTTGAGACTGCCCTTTTATCCTGCCATGCTAGTATTAGCAAGTCATTTAAAATACAAAAATGATTGAAACCAGTAGAGAACATCAAAGTCCTCAGTTTTTCAAGAACAATGGTTTCTTCTCACACGCTAATTGACTGCTTTATTCTAATGAGATTTTAGGGGGTTCAGTAATTTTTTTTCAGTCAAAATTTACTGATGAAATGGTACTCTTAGAATTATGAGCCATACTGCATATTTTCTTCACATTTGCCTGTTGACCCTCATAGGTCAATATGATCCATTAAGGTTGCCCTAGAAGGCAATGAACCCCAAATATATTGGGGCAATGTACACATATAGGTTTTTAAATAAGTCTAAAATGTGGGACAAATGATTCAAAAGAAGGTTAGAAATCTGTAGCACGCCCGTGTTTTAAATAAAACATCCACACGCAAACGCCCAGCAAATACATCAGTGTAATGGAACCATTAGATGGACTTCCAAGATGCTTGAACAAGATGTTTTTTTGGTTTTCTACAATTCTACGTTCATGTTTTCATATAATTCATTTATGCAGAACTGCTCAATGTATAGTCCCACAGAATGTGATTGTACTTTATAGAGAGTAATTACAATATATTGCATGCTAATCAATAAAAAATCTAGCCAAAGCTTATTACTTTGCTTGTCCTAGCATGTCTGAGTCTGGATCTTCTAATGGTGGAACAACATATTTCAAGCCAAAATCAATGCTACTACATAAATGAAATTGAGCTAATAGAGATGCAAACTTCTTACCTTGCGTTCTTAATTTCAACAATTGTCAAACTTTGTATTGTAGTAAATTGCTTTGGGTTTGAAGCTTAAAGGAAATGTTGGCAGTTTTTTAACTTTTTTTTCTTTACTTACTATTTTTTTCAGTTGGTGACACAGTGGCAAAGAGCGATGCACATTGCAAGATAAGTATTTCCCCAGATCTATATAATCTTTAATACATGATATTCTGCACTCTGTTTCCCTCTCTGTTTCACATGTTATAATTAATAAACAAATAAAATATTGTCTGAGCTTCTTTTTCCTCTCTAATTTATGTGTGCTGTAAAGCTGATTGCTCTGCAAGATGGAAACTGTGCCTAATCTCCTGCCCTTGCAGAGCTCTCAGCTTTACGTCACAAAAATTAAAGAGGGAAAGGGAGCATGGACATTTTTAACTTGTTTATTTTCAAGATTTGAAAGAGAGAGAAAAGAAAAAGGAGTGCAGACATTAATTTATTAATATTTACATAGATCAGAAGAAAATACTTATTTTGCACCACAAGGTATTCCCTGCCTCTGCATCACCCACTAAAATGGTGAAGAATTTCACATGCCACTAATGTGGACAGTGCGGTAGTGATTCATGGAGCCAGGTGAGTATTTACTCTGCTGTGCATAATGATCCTGTTGCTGGTGATTTGTCACCAATAGGATCACAAAAGTGAAATCAGCATTAACGTGTGTGTGTGTTAGTTATACTTTTTGTGGCTTTGCATTATCTTTCTCAGTCTGACTGAAATGATGCAGACTTTCAAAAAGGGGTATCAGTGGGATTTCCACTGACAGTATCGCAACCTAACTTCCACTGGCACTAGTGCAAGAGGGGAATTTTCACCTGACTACCAATGCAGAAGGGACATTTTCTTACCACACTTACCACAAACCCCCTTTAGTTGATAGTCAGTGGAAAGAAAAATACCTCCTTGCATGGTAGTCAGTGGGCTGAAGAAAACACTTTCACATTGATGGTCAGTGGGACGAAGAATGTCCACTTTTGTTGGTGATCAGTGGAAAGAAAAATGCCTCTTTATGCATTTGTACTTGTACTGACTACAATGTAGGTGGACATTCTTCTATCCACTGGCTTCTAATGTAAGGGGGCATTTTTTTTTCAACTGAATACCAATGTAAGGTGGTGTGTTGCTTAATGGCTTTTTTTCCTTTCTGGTTGGCAAGGGGGCCCCACATAAATTAAGTTTCTAGTTATGCCCCAGATGTATTGCTAATGATTAAGTCAAATCCTGACACTGGCCTGTCTTCTGATACAGTTTTCTCACCTGTCTGCTATCTGTCCCAGCCTTCTCTCTGTTACATGACACCACCCTAACACCTCTCTTCCCAATCTAGTCTACATGCTATGATTTTTCTTGACAATTTGACTATTTGTCTGCTTGGCTACTGTCAATAGTGGGCCAAATCTTTCAGGCTAAATCTAGCTACGACACTTAGCAAAATCCATACTTCCTTGTCGGAGTACCTGGCAAAGACCAAATATAACTTAGGCTCTGCTTCCGTCAAACATCTCTAACAATGATTACAACTTCAAACATTTAGATCCAAATAAAATAAACTAATCTACCTTTTTATTTGTTTACTTCAGGTAGCTTTGAACTCATGTCCAAATCCAAAGGCAAGAAACAACACATTTCTACTTTATAGCCTGTAGAAAGTACATGAACAGATGTGGAAAGTGATGCTGGGCAATATAGTTATCATGTGTTTTCTTTCAATGAACATGTATGAAATTGCTCCCACATCTACTTTATTGAGAAGTAATGCAAGCTCACTACTAATGGATGTATATCTGGGTGTGAAATGCAAAGAGCTGATTGTCATCAACCAAAAAGTGAGCTATTTTTCTAATTAATCACAATAACTGGCAAGTGCTACATTACTGAATGCTTCAAACCATCAGCAAGTTCTACTTAATGTGTGATCAAATATTATTATCATTCAGGATTTATACAGAGTGTTACCAAATAAAGGGAGACAGTACAGGCACAATACAATGCAAGACAAGAAGGTTAGGAGGGCCCTGCTCGTGAGTGCTTACAATCTAAAAGACATGATTTGTTCTGAATGGCATATGACTTAAAGAAATACAGAAATAATAAAACATTGTAACATTTCCTGAATATCTGCTGACCTAGATCTTAGTGTTTATCCAGAGCAGAAATATATGTTTTGGCAGACGATTCTTGTGGTTGTTCAAATGGAAAACTATTACCACAAGTTCCAAAAACCAACTGCTGCAATACAAAAAATATGTATTGCAAATTGTTACATCCTAATACTATGTTACTTTAATCAGCCAACAAGATACTATGGGAAAAACTTTAATGACAGTGAGATTGTTAATTTAGCCATAACTCAGCATTCACAATAAGTTTTAGTTAGCAAATATGGGTAATATCTTACTGGTAGACCATTATCGCCTTGCTTTCCTGGTAAACCACTTGGACCTGGCACTCCTTGAGGCCCTGGTGCTCCCTGTAAAGTAAGAAATAAGTATTTAATGAAGACTATAACTTGAAATGTTATCAAGTCTTTGTAAACTAAATTGTCAGCCTATTTCCACATGAATAACTGATGGAAAATGTTTCTACAGGATCATATTTCATATACCACACATTCTTTTTATTCCTCAGTCTAACAACAAAACTACCTGAAAAAACTCTTATGCAAATCAATTATATAGTACCAGATTGATAGAAAATGTAATAACTATATTGCCTTACCATTGGTCCTGGGGGTCCTCTGGGTCCTACTGCGCCATCTTTGCCAGTGAAACCCTAATAAGACAAAGTTGTACATTTATTCACACTGACCTTTAAAAAGCAGCATTCTGATGTTTTCCCATCATCAGAAAGAATGTTATGTACTATAATATAGTACTATGTACGAATCTATCTATCTATCTATCTATCTATCTATCTATCTATCTATCTATCTATCATCTATCTATCATCTATCTTGTGAACTTAGTTGAGTTTAGCTAAGCTGTAAATTCCTAACTAAACTAATTTGACTTCCCAGATTCACCATTTGTTATGTTGTTACCCAGTTATTTTCAAAGTTCTAGCATAGTTTATCCTAGGGGAAACTTTAACTTCTCCCCAAACTATTTAAAACTAAGGGGACTATTCACTAAGCTGCCGTAGGCAGCCGAGTGAAAGACCGACCTGAAGTGAAGTGAGCCGAACGCTCTTCGGCTCATCACTTCAGGCTGGTACGGCTGATTTCAGGGTACATAGGGTGGCTTTGGGTCGGCCGAACATGCTCAGCATGTTCGGCTGACCCAAAGTGCAGAAGGAGTTCGACTCAGCCGATCCAACATCTGGATCGGCTGAGCCGAACCTCCGACAGGCTACTCGCTGCTGTTCGGTCTATTCTCATAGATGCCAAACAGCAGTGAGTGAATAGCCGAATGCCACTGAGCGGCATGCGGCTCGGCTGTTCTGCTCGGTCCCTCAGAGGGACCGAGCAGAACAGAAAAATAGTTAAAAAAGCACAAAAAAATAAATAGAAAACAATTGTGCGGAGCTAGCAGTGACAGCTAGCTCCGCCCAACAGTTGTCTATTGTCCGGTGGCTCTGCTGCTATCAAAAAAAAGAAAAAAAACTCTCCCGGGAGCTCTGGGAGTCTCCCGCTCCCGGCCGCCCAGGAGAGAAAAACACAGTTTTTTCTTTTTTTTTCCTATGGGCAAATAATAATTTTTGCCCATAGGAATGCATTGCTAGATTCCTATTGTCTATTTCAATTTGCAATAGCCAATAGTAAACTAGCATTGCTCCCGCCCTCTGCTGATGGACCAGATGGAGAAGTGCAGCAGAGGGCGGGTGTAATGCTAGTGTTTCTCTCCTTGGCGGCCGGGGAGCAGGAGACTCCCGGAGCGCCAGGGAGAGTTAGGCTGTCTGGAGATCAGTGTCCCTGGTTAGCTGGTAACCAGGGACGCTGATCTCTCTGCAGGATCATATTTCATATACCACACATTCTTTTTATTCCTCAGTCTAACAACAAAACTACCTGAAAAAACTCTTATGCAAATCAATTATATAGTACCAGATTGATAGAAAATGTAATAACTATATTGCCTTACCATTGGTCCTGGGGGTCCTCTGGGTCCTACTGCGCCATCTTTGCCAGTGAAACCCTAATAAGACAAAGTTGTACATTTATTCACACTGACCTTTAAAAAGCAGCATTCTGATGTTTTCCCATCATCAGAAAGAATGTTATGTACTATAATATAGTACTATGTACGAATCTATCTATCTATCTATCTATCTATCTATCTATCTATCTATCTATCTATCATCTATCTATCATCTATCTTGTGAACTTAGTTGAGTTTAGCTAAGCTGTAAATTCCTAACTAAACTAATTTGACTTCCCAGATTCACCATTTGTTATGTTGTTACCCAGTTATTTTCAAAGTTCTAGCATAGTTTATCCTAGGGGAAACTTTAACTTCTCCCCAAACTATTTAAAACTAAGGGGACTATTCACTAAGCTGCCGTAGGCAGCCGAGTGAAAGACCGACCTGAAGTGAAGTGAGCCGAACGCTCTTCGGCTCATCACTTCAGGCTGGTACGGCTGATTTCAGGGTACATAGGGTGGCTTTGGGTCGGCCGAACATGCTCAGCATGTTCGGCTGACCCAAAGTGCAGAAGGAGGTCGACTCAGCCCATCCAACATCTGGATCGGCTGAGCCGAACCTCCGGCAGGCTACTCACTGCTGTTCGGGCTATTCTTATAGATGCCGAACAGCAGTGAGTGAATAGCCGAATGCCGCTGAGCGGCATTCGGCTCGGCTGTTCTGCTCGGTCCCTCAGAGGGACCGAGCAGAACAGAAAAATAGTTAAAAAAGCACAAAAAAATAAATAGAAAACAATTGTGCGGAGCTAGCAGTGACAGCTAGCTCCGCCCAACAGTTGTCTATTGTCCGGTGGCTCTGCTGCTATCAAAAAAAAGAAAAAAAACTCTCCCGGGAGCTCTGGGAGTCTCCCGCTCCCGGCCGCCCAGGAGAGAAAAACACAGTTTTTTCTTTTTTTTTCCTATGGGCAAATAATAATTTTTGCCCATAGGAATGCATTGCTAGATTCCTATTGTCTATTTCAATTTGCAATAGCCAATAGTAAACTAGCATTGCTCCCGCCCTCTGCTGATGGACCAGATGGAGAAGTGCAGCAGAGGGCGGGTGTAATGCTAGTGTTTCTCTCCTTGGCGGCCGGGGAGCAGGAGACTCCCGGATAGCCGAAGGATCGGCCGAAGCTACGGCTAGATCCTTCGGCTGCTTCGTGAATAGACCACTAAAAAAAATCCTGCTTTTTAGTCTTAAGTTAGACTTTAATGTAAATGAAGATTTAAGGGCATGTTTTGAAGAATTTTTATTTTAACATTTTAATATTTGGCTGCCATGGTTATAACTATAAAGGTAAATGCTGATATGATATCTAGCTTGATCCATTACTCTGATAGGCTTGCATGTTTCCTAGATTAATTTTTACAATATGGGATACTTTCAATGTGATGTGACTAGAAAAAAAGTCTGTTCTGGTTTACAGAGTTCTACATGGGTGGAGGTATAATGGACGATATTGGCCAGGAAGAGAATCATACAGAAAATTCTGATACAATTCTCTTAGTATAGCCCATAGGATGCATTATCATCGATCCCTAGATACACTAAGGTATAGGCCAGCCCCTTTCCCACTTTATCTGAAAGATGTCACTGACCAGAGGCATGCCCATTTGTTGCATTTTAGTACTGTGAGCCAGATGTGTACCATTAGCCAGATGTGTGCACTGTGCAACTGCAAATGTCACAGTCCTAGAAAGGCTAAACTTAGGCTTTAAGGGATTAAAATAGTTAGTGATCCATATATCCATTATATGCCAGATGTGGCATTGAACCAGCTTCAAAGGTTTTTCTTTCAACTGGTTTAGGGACATGTATACCCACCGAGAGCCTATATTGGGTTTAAATGTAGAGATGCATGTGTATTTCTTTTTGTAAATATGTATGGTATGCAGTTGAAGGTACATTCTGCCATATTTCTAGGTGAATAGCATCTGTATATATACAATTTTTTGCAATTGTTTATTAACCCTTTTCATTGATTATTTAGTGGTTGGCAATAGTTTCTAGGGATGTATGCACAGTGTAAGTTGGGTCATTGTCTGTACACACCTCAGAAATATTTGCCATATTGTGGACAATAGGTAAGTGATCGGTGGCTCACATTGCATGATGCATATGTGCAAAGCGGAGCTTGTTTGTAGCTTCAAAATTTGTCAGGCAACTAATCATTTAAATGCCCTCTGCAACACTGGTTCTTAGGGGCAGCAAAGGGATGGTATCTGCTAGAGAATCAGCAGAGGAGAAATGGAAGTTAGCTGAGCTATGTGAGGGGCAAAGGTAATAGTATTTTCTGGTAAACTGCAACTTTTTCTGCCAGCCCTGGTGACTTGTTGCAATGACTGCAATGTACCTCTTTTTAAAGGGGGTCATTGATTTTTTACATGGTGCAAATCTGATCAGGCTTTTTTTCAGGACAAGTTGTACTAAAATACATTTATTTGAAATATAGTTAACAATTCATTAGGTATTAGAATAACCTTTACACTGTCCAGGAAGACAAAAACACAGATGTGATAGAATCAAATATGTTACATTTATCAGCTAAACCAAATAAGCCTAGTTTAGTTTGGCAGCAGCACAATCCCATATTTTCACTCCTGGATTCTTCTTTGATGCTTGAAGAAAACAATTCTAAAAATATAGATTCTAAAGATTTTAGTCTTTGTTTTCTTTGCAAATTCTGTGATTTAATTTTGCGCTATGTGGATCAGCTAAACAACTGCGATGGAAACAATAAATCCATCTACAGTGCAAAAAAAGGTCTGGAAAGTCTCTTGTTGGATTATTCATTACAAAAAGAATTACAGGAAACGATGTTTTGGCGAGGGCTGACGCTTTCCAACTAGCACTTTGAGTTCTTTACAGGTCGCATGTTTAACACGTAAGGATTAACTCTGCAAGTAATAGTTACGTTTTCCTACTTTGCACAAGATGTCTATTATTAAATACATCAAATGTTCTTATATTAAACACTCTTTAACTAATATGCAGTAAAAAATCTTTGCTGTCCAGGGAATACCTTTAAAAACATAGGTTTGAGTTGTCTACATGTTATATTTAAGCTCTTTAGAGAGTTCCCGTCATCAGTTTTCAGTGGAAGGGGTAAGGTGTGACTGATGGGTTAATATAGTTCTCCTCTGTGTTCCCACTCCATCAATCTGTCAGTCTAAGGCCTGGTAGCATGAACATACAAGCTCAGCTCTCTCTAAGACCTCAAAGGAAGCTGCAAGGTGACTAACTCTAGAAGGGTGCTGTCAACTCCCACAATGAATGTCATGATGGCACAACAGAATAAAGGAAAACACATGAGTTTCATGCAAAATTCAAAGTGTATCTCCATCCTACTCTAAATAATCTGATAGCTACAATCATATTCAGTTAAAGAAGTACAGCAGGAATTTTAAAAACTTGGCACTGCAAGGGTTAAGTGCTTGTTGTGGTCTAGGTGGCTCAAATAAAGAATATATACTCACCTGATCCTCGGTCCCACCAGAGCTGCTAGACCAGTCCCTGCAGCCTCTTCTCCCCCTGGACTCTGGCAGTGTAAGGACCACTGATGTCATTATGCCTAATGCAGGTCCCGTACCTTGCATTAGACGTGAGGATGCCAAGGGGCTTTTCACAGCCAGAGCAGCGGGGGAGAGAGGTGAGCACTGACTTCTGAGAAATCAAGGATTAGGTGAGTATATCTTCTTTATGTGAGCATCCAAGACAAAGCAAACACTTAAACCTTGCAGTGCAGGGTAACCCCACTGCAAGGGTAAGTTTTTTAAATTCCCAGGGTACTTTTCTAAGTTTATGTACTCCTTGGGAAATCGTTCCACAGTATTATTAATGCTGCACTCCATACGGATATAAACAAAACCTAACTGAGTTGTGCATTCCTTTACAAATAAATAGATATAGCTATAGTAAGAACCTGGATCTGCATTTATATAAGCCTCCTGCAATTTCTGGCACAGATGCTCTCAAAACGGGAAAAGGATGGGCAGTACAAGGAGCTATTCAGGCTTGGCTGCATACAAATATGCTAACAGTGATAACACTGAAAGGGGGAGAGAGAAGAGCAAGCGCAGTTACCAATCCTAAACTGTCTGATCAGAAGGCTGAGTTGGGGAGGTGACACCACTGTATTTCTGGTTTTATCCTTCAGGCCTTGCTATGTGGCAGGGGTGCATGAATCACAAATGTCGCTGGACAGAATTACAAATGCTTAGTCAGATAATACATTAACATTGAGTATTACAGCTGTTTATGTAGCTGTTTGCTTGGAGTTCAGCTTTAGGAATTTCTATAATCATTACTGTTATGCACAACAAGACTTCAGGATTTTCCAAGGTCATCCAAACTTTTAAATTCTTTAAGAATATGTATGAATATGAATGTATGAATGTGAAAAACATTAGATAATACACATACAAACACACACACACACACACACACAAATACTAAACTGAAAATATCAGTTCATACATAAATAAAATTGAATTCTTTAATCAAATACTTAGTTATGTTTGAGCGATTATTAATAAACCTATACTGGAAGTTCTAAAATTGTATGAGACAACAAGATTAGTTAGTTCCTTGTTAGAATTTAAAACACATACCCTTGCTCCTGGAGGTCCCATAGGTCCGGGTGGTCCGGTTACCCCAGGAGTCCCCTAAACAAAAAAATAATTAATAAATTATGCAAATCATTAATATTACATTTCTTCCAGCCAGGAATGAGCATACTGAAAATATTACAATGTATATATATATGCAACATACCATCCTTCCTGGTAATCCTGGATCACCTGGATCACCTTTTTGTCCTTGACGACCCTGGAAAAAAAGATACATAATGAGAAGCAAATACTATGTTTGTGGTAACTAATTTTAAAACTAGCACTGTTAGGAGATATAAATACACATAATTATACAAATGATCAATGAGTACAAAGTAATTTTGTGCAATTTTGTTATGCATGAACTGCATACTAATTTCATTTCATGTATTTCAATAAATATTCTAGAAGGAACATGAATATTAAAACAGAGCAGAATGGTTTGCACTTGCCACATATCACAATGCAATGCCTTTAATTTATTAATATTTTTTACACCGAAATGCTAACATTCACAACACATTCTATATAAATGGAATCCATTACTATATATTTACTAAATAGAGTACATTAATTGAAAGATACTGCACTTACAGGTTCTCCGGGAATAGAAAGTCCAGGTGGCCCTTGTGGACCAGGTGGGCCTTGTGGGCCTTGTAGACCGGGTTCACCTCTCTGTCCTGGTGGGCCCTTTAATTATGGAGCAAGGAAGAAAGAAAATTAAAATTAGTTCTCTGCAGCAAAAAATGCAAATTACAGTTTTGGCATCCTTATGTTTGCCACTCTTACTACTTCTCAAACTCAAATATATTCTATTTTAGAAGGCGTCAATGAGAGAATTTAATTTACTCTTAAAAAACAGGCAGGGTTCCTATATAGAATAGCAAGCTAGTAAGATCTTTGTTTAACTTGAATGCTTGGGATACTATTTTTGAAACTGATATCAGTTTTTCTCTTAAACCATGACTAAGACAACCACATCAATTTAACTCTCACATCAATATTGTACCTACCTCTAAATCCATGTATAACTTCAGTCCTTCAATAATGTAGCAATAATATTCAAAACAACATATTAAGTTAATGTATTTATTATTAGTATTAGGTTTCGTTTATATGGCATCATCGTACTATATATAATGCAAGGTAATATGTGCTCGGTAACCAAAAATGGACATGGCATGCTGCTTTCATAAATTTATTTGCAAAGTTAAAGCATTTAGGTGAACCTGCAGGACAGATATCAATAATGGATCCTTTAAAATAAGTAAATGAACCATAGCACAAGTCAAAGAAAACAGTGTGAAGAGATAGAGGAGAGTGTGGAAAACATAAGAAAAGTGGAAGAGAATGCAAAGTGAATAAGCAAAGGAATGACTTGGAAATTTGATAGCATTCCCACATAAAGGTGATTTTTTCGGATAGCACTTGAAGCAATAAAGGACACTCTGATAAAATGAGGAAGAATATAACAGGGAAAAGATGAAACCCAAAAGGAGGCTTTATTGGGAGACTGTAAGAATCTTGGATTACAGGTCATATTCTCAAATCATTTGGTGATCTGATGGTATAATTTAGGTACAGACAGGATAGGAGTGCAGGATGGAGTGTTGCACTAATGAAGGCCTTACATTTAGAGCTAGAAATTATAGTCTAGTCCTTGAAGGAAGGGAGCCAATGAAGAGACTGAAAAGAGGTAGGGTAGGTTAGTATAGCAGCTGCATGCATAATTAACTGTAATGGTGTCACTTTAATAAGCAGCAAGCTCTTTTACAAAGAATTAATATCATCAAGATGGGAAATAAATAGTGAATGTATTAATATTTTGATAATTTCATTAGTAAGGCAAGGGTCAATGAATGCCAGAGATACTTTTTAGCTAAATTATATTTTTAGAGCTTTGATATGAAAGGCGATGGGTACAGTCAAGAGTGACCCTGAGACATTGAGCTTGTTGTTATAAATTGATAACTGCATTTTTAACTGTAAGAGAGTTTTAAGATATAGTAGATTTAAGAGACAGTGTTATTAAAAACAATTAACATTTAAAAAGCTTGCATTACAAGAGGAGTTCAATCATTCCTGAGAAGAGAGAAATTATATACTTTGCAGAGTTATTTATAAGAAAGGGTAAAAATGTACCCCTTGGTTTTAGCAGTATACAGATGGTATTTAAAATCAAAGCTACTAGTATTTTTTCCTTTTCCCAAGGGTGCAGCGTACAACCAAAACAGTAAGGGACCAAGTACTGACGGCTGTGACACTCCAACTTTTAGAGAGAGAGAAGTAATACAACAATTGAAAGAAGCACTGAATGAATGGTTGCCACAGCTCCTCCAGCACCATGTGAATTTGCATTTATTTAGAAAATAGAGAATTCCAGCTGCCTACATTATTGGACTGTTAGTACTGCTATTGTCAGCCAATACATAAGCAAGAAAGAATGTGCAGCAAAGTGCTGATGAGTATCATGGGGAGGTTGGGTTTTAGATCTATAGTGACTACAGGAAGCAAGCAATGCTTCAAATCTGACAAGTCATACAGTTTAAGAGAAAGAGGCATTAGCACCACTTGCTCACTATTAGTCCCCTAGCCTCTCTACACATGCACATGCTTCTTCTATCAGATGGACAGTTAGCAATGCCCAAAGGTAAACACTCTTTTTGCATTCTTTTTGAGGCATTGAAGCTGTTGGAAGACATGCTTGCCTAAATGATTAAATACAGTTTTGGGGCTTCATATTTGATGCTATAAAAAAAGAATGCCAGCAGGGCAGTTGACCAATATAGTAGGACAATTAAAAAATCATGTAATGCAATAGGTTGCCTCATTTACACAAGACTATTTGTTGAATGCATAACAAATCATGATAATGTTGCAACACATTATACTGTATAAGGATGACTGTACATTTTACAAACAAGTTCTAAATAGATAATAAAGAAAACTTACTGTAGGTCCATCTGTGCCCCTGTCACCTCTGGGACCTTTGCTACCAGGAATACCCTGCAAATAGAAAATAAATTGTATATAGCAGGATTGCAGAGAGATTATGCAAGAATCATCTAAATTCTTATAAAATGTCTAGAGATATCTGTGGTTTCCAGAATGTATCTTTCCTTCCACTTTAACATATTTGGCACCAATCCACCATAAATTCTTCACCTAAGCACATTCGTGTTTCATTACTGCTGCCAATTTTACACAGTGGTTGAGCAAATTTGGATTAACACCACTTTCCTGGAGGCTGCCTATATGTATATCATAAACACTTAAAGACTTAGGAGTATATTCATTAAGCTGCCGTAGGCAGCCGAGTGAAAGACTGACCTGAAGTGAAGTGAGCCGAAAGCTGTTCGGCTATTCACTTCAGGCTGGTACGGCTGATTTCAGCCGTATATCGGCTGAAAGCAGCCGTACATCGGGTGGTTTCACGTGGCTCCGGGTCGGCCGAACATGCT